GTTCTCTGGTGGGTTTCTTATACATAGCAAATATCTATATAACTAAATCGGAATGAAATGTGATATTGCATTGGACAATAATCTAAGCCAAGTTTCAAGAACATATCTTGGCAAATAAAATTTTTTTTTCATACAAGGAATTGGTTTTAAGCGATCAGTTTGTATGACGGAAATATTTGTAGTCTAATATCAGCGGTTCTGAAAAACTAGCAGCTTGTTGGGAAAAAAAGAATGTGTGCAAATTTTCAGATTAATATCTCAGCGACTAGTTCGTGTATATACAAAGAGACGAACGTGGCTAAATCGACGCAGCTCATCATGCTGATTGTTTTTATATATATTATGGGGTATCCAGGTAACTCAGCATATATTCAAAGAGGGGGTTCTGAGACTTATTTACATGTTTGTTAGTTTTTATAAGAATTCTTCTACGACCGTGATCATTTCTAGTTCCGAAAATTTATGAGGATGGAATTTTTTGAGTCCTTTTAATTCATTTTTGAGAAAGCCTGCCACTCTTCACACATACTTCTGTTCTTAAAGACAGAGGGAGTTATGGAAAAATTAAACAATCCTTTTGGGACTCAATTTATTTCTCGATATATTGAAACAGGGTCGCTTTCAAAAATTAATAAATTCCTTTTAAGCAAACGCAGTCGAATTTGCTAGAGACCACCACGGCACACCAACACACTTACACGCGAAGCAAATGACAAATATGATTCGGTTAACATTGTCTGTGGCATACTTCCACAGTTGAACCATGCAAATATACAAATGAGAACGTGATAGTCGGACAAAATGGCAACAGCACGAAGAGCATAAAGTAGAGAAAAAATAGTTAGCCAGCTTGTAAAATACAAGTATGCACTGAGTCCTCATTTGAAACATTACGGTGTAAAGACACGCAAGCGAAGAGCGTAATAAATGCTAAAACTAACAGGCTTACACTCATGAATCCTGTCTATATGCCTGAACTGGGTCACCGGGCGCATGAAATGACCAATTTTTCAGACATTTTTTTTTGTTCCTCATCAAACAAACAAAATACTTGTATGAACAAACACGTTTTCGCTGGACGTAAGTGTATTAAAAGCCAGCGGATGGCGAGTCTCTTGTCATCCACCAGATGACACGCATATGTCAGGTTGAAGCGTTTTTATTTATGTACATAAGTATGCTTGAATATGCCGTAGAAATAATTGGCACTTGTAGAAATTAATTTCTGTTTCGGTTTTTTTTTTTTAGGAATTTTTTAAAGCAAAAAATTAATTGCTAACATAACTTAGTACTTGGTAACAAATTGTACACAAAAAAGATATACTTTTATGTACGTATGCGATATGCTATACCGAACTAAGGCGAGTTATGAATAAGACAGCAAAACACAGGTAAGAAAGAAAAGAATCTAGTCTCTCACAACGGGTGCTTTTAAGACGTGTGATTTTCAATAAGTCAACATTTTTTTCGGAGTTATTCATTTTGACAACTGTTACTTCATATATACTCAGTTTATTTTGCCATTTCATAATGAACCGACTTGCGCCAGACTTACGTTTGCAAATTGTGCAAATTTATTACCAAAATAATAGTTTGATTTGAGTAACCATGGATCGGTTTCGCAGCACGTTTACTCTAGTAGAAAATGCGCATGCTCAGAGACACCGTTCATATATCTTCAGTAATGCAGCGGGCCATAATGTTACGGCCATGATTCGTCCCTGAGTTGGCGAATATTGATGTGGACGACCTTTGGTTCCAACAAGACGGTGCTACATGCCACAAAGCCAATGAAACAATCAATTACTGACATACGGCCCCAATTGTTGCAAAAATTGATCGAAACTTGGGCCTCTCGGCTGGAATTTATTCGTGGCGTCTGCGGCGATCAGCCTTATCTTTATGGTAAAGCTAAATTTTTGGCCATAACATTAAATTAAATCTTCTTGAAACGCAGTGTCTAAAAAGAACACCCTTTAGTAGGATTCAAAAATACTATTCATGAGAAAATGTAATGGTCCCCATACGACACTAACCTAACCTCTCATCTTCGCTCTCGAAACAGTATAATTTCACTAGAAATCATCCACGAAGTTGATGCGGTCAAGCTAATGTTTACATACAGTGTGATACGAAATTCTTCAATTGAAATGAGCCTATGGTGACTTTGAAAAAAGGTTTTTTAATATTCCATCATAATCCAAAAGTCAAAAGATCAATGAAATAATTGCATGAAGTGGAATTTGAAGTATTTCTAATCCAGTGTTTTTTTTACAAATGATGCCCACTGCGTGAGCCTAAAATTAAAAGTGTTCTCAGAATAACTTAGATTGAACCAAACTAATAACAAAAATTTTTTGATTAATTTGTTTTGTAAAAAATAAGCTGGATATTCAAACCAGTGGTGAATATTTTTTGAAAAGAAATATAACGACCTCGTATCAGGCGTTGTTGCTATCTATCCAATCCACTCTTCAAAAAATTTCATATCATTGACAGAAACTGTTTAAAGAAACGAAATTAGGGTTCTCTCTCGCAAACATCAATAGGCGTACAAATTGTTCAAACCTTAGCAAAACGACTCTCTAAAATTAATTTAGGCTTCAGTGTGTTCAAACACCTGAATTTTCTAAAGGCGGAGGCCTTCAATATATTCATAGAATTATGATGTATTCGGCACTTAAACTAAATAAATTTCAATGACGGTCATCTCCTCATGAGTTTTTCAAATCCCTTATACTAGACTATTATAGGAGTAGGGATTGAATATGATAGCCCATAATTGGATACACATAGTAACTACCATTCTTCACTCACACCCAGTATACTAATATCCTTTCAGCCTTTTGAGAATATTTTATAAACTTGTATCTAAAAATGTTAAAAAAGTCGTAATTGATTATCCTCACAACCTAAATACCCGTTTAGCCAGCCGTTAATAATATTATTTATAAAAGCAATTTGCCACTTGAGTACAAACTTTAGAGCGCGATTATTATTAAAAATGTCAAAGGCTTGTTCATACTAAGTCACATTTAAGCAATGTGTTTCTTCACCGGATTATAATCTTCACATACGATTATCAGCAAATGCACAGCTGGAAAATGCTTGTAGCAAACAATCCCGCCAAACAGCTTCAATGTATGCAAAGCACTCGTAGAAAAACCTTCGTAAAGACAGCTCCTTTGTTCCACACATATTTTACAATACTACAAGTACTCTGGCTGGTGAAAGACTGAGAGAATTTATGTTCACATTAAATAAATCAGCTTGTCGTTTTACGCTCAACTACTCGCAAGCCGGTGTTGACAAATAATGTGACAAATAGGCATAGTAGACACCTACAAGCCGCAAGCACAAGCCTACAATCATTCAAAATAACCCATATTTGTGTATGTGTGAGTACATGTAACAAAAAACTTCGTCTTCTCAACTTTTTTGCTCCCTAACTGAGAAAGGCAGCCGTTAAGTAGCAGCATTATAGGCGTTTGGCAGTCGTTAGGCAATAAATTGACGGCTTTTTCATGTCGCCGGTACCCACATACTTTTTCCGCTTCGCTGACTGTCTGCCATGTACGGTTGTGTAGTTTTGTAAAGATGTGAGTGGTTGTGCTGAAATGGCGGATTAATTTGTTATGAATAATGTTGGCATACTTTTAGGCATTTACACGCTTAAGTGACTGTACATAATTCTTTAAGGAAGATTTTAAATTACTTTGCTTATGGACATTAGCTGTTTTCATCACTTGTTTTGTTAGAAATTTTGTTGATATTAATTTTATATCGCTTATAAGCAGCTTAGTAAACTTTGCCCTGATAAGCATGAATCAAATATGTTAAGCAGTGTGCTTAGATTCTAAAGCACGGACTCGAGTTAAACACACAAACATTTTATTCATGTTATTTTCATAGCTTTCAATATGCCGAATTAGTGTAAGCCTTCCTTAACTCAGTGGAGCAACATTTTAATAAATTTAGCCGAGTTCACATTTTTTTTTGTTGGACAAATTATCTTCATGAAAATGGCATAGACTATTGTCCAAGCCGTTGACTTATCTCCGTACAAATAGTTGAGATCGGACTACTATGGCATATAGCTGCCATCTCATTCAGCCGTCAATAGCGTTTTCGATGCACACAGTACGGCGCTTCTGATGATGGGCATTATTCACTAGAATAAACGTGGTGCGAAACCGATTCCTGGCTGCTTGAATTATCGACTCTGCTGAGCAATTATTTCGACCGAATATTAATCACAGCGCTAACCGAACAATAACTTTGGTAATAAATTTGCACGATTTGCCATCATAGTTCTGGATTAAATCTGTTCATTATGAAGTGGCAAACCAAACAGAGTTTAAATTAGGTAACAGCTATCAAAAAGACCAACTCCGATATAAATATTGCTTCGCTAAAAACCACACGTCTAAAAAAATACCTGTTGCCTGTCAAACATAAGTAAACAATAGTGCTATAAAAGAATACTATATTTCAACGAGAAATGAAAGAGTCTTGGGCTTTGCATTATTTTAATTTATTGATTTACAGGATTTTTTACTACCGAAATATTAGGATTCAAATATGATGATCAAATATTTACAAGTTTACACTTTCAAGCAAGTAAATATTTTAAACTATTCGTTTGTTAAACTGTTACGCGAAGAACCATAAATTTACCTCTATTATGCTGCGGATTGTAAGTAATTATGTCTAAAACCGCTAAAGCCTTCTTTTAACAACAAAATTTTTCATTAACTTCAACACACCTCCTTAGTCAGATAAAAGGATGGTAATGAACGAGAGGCCAGTGCGTAATCTTTACATTCAACAAAAGCCTTTCCAGTTAATTTGTAAAAACCAAAGAGAGACAGAGAAAGATACCATACATGCAAATACTTCGAATTCAGGTAAGGACATTAAGAACTTAATTGCAATTTAAGGTGCGATATTCTACCTGTTCGACATCACGCCGACTAGTATAAATACCGCACAATTTTTCACTCATCTTTATAACATTATCAGCTCCCGACTCTGAAACACTGACGCTTTGAAGAACTTACCATTGTGGACTAATCCACGAACAGCAGCATGAATATTCAACCGACAGAAATAGCCGTTGATTTGCGGACATATAACACTATACCAACAGAATGTGTTGGCCAAGGAGCAATACAAGCATATGATTTGTCCCAATTATGCGGTCGTCAACAAACACGGAACGACCGTCTATCAACAGTACATCGACAATTAAAACGTCGAAGAGAATTCGAAAATATATTCGATGGTGAAACAAAAAAATTAAAATTGGACGAACNAGTATCAATCACCACGCGGCAGCTTTTAAGTGTCATTTTTGATCGCGAAACTCTTGCGACGCACACACTGAGTGGCAAGCCCTCACCGGCTTTTCTGGACCGTGATCGCCCACTCAAGGGTCAATTAGATAAGCTGAAAGTGGCTGATGTGATATATTTCCTCAAACTGCTTTTCAATTGTCCGGAACGTGTAATCCGAAATGCAATCACAATGAAATGTGCGGATACCGCAAAAGCCATACGAAGAAAGTACTTATCCAAAGCCAATTTAGATAAATTCTTGTAATACCTTAAATTTGTATATAAGCTATGATATGTGTAAATAATTTTTGCAGTAACAATAAATCATTAAACTCTCGAAAATATATGTATATGTGATATTGTATAACTTCTTAGCAGGAGGATTGCTATTAGCAATCAGGTAGCTGTTCTAGTGTGATCCTGCATTACTTTTGGTGCGAGGAATAACCCTACTACCTAACTTTAATTAGCAGGGAAGATTAGGTTGCAATAGAAGATGGGGGACTGGACTACCAAAAGAGGGATTTAAAAAGGGTTTAAGAATCTTAAAAAGAACCCATTGAAGAACAACCGATTAAGCACGTTCTATATTGATCTGTGATACCTTTTCAAATACCCCACCCAACAACAATAGTACTAGTGGCCAACTCTCCTATTTCGTTCCAAGCATTAGGTATATGACATTTCAAGTCAAATGTCGCTGTTATAGAAAACTTTATTTCTGTCGACTATTTCTTTGGGTGCAAAACATTCATTTATTCACTAATATTTAGCTTTAATGATAAAAAATTATTCAAATTCAATTTAATCTCGTGGTTTTGTACATTTTGTGAATTTCAGTTCAACGAGTTGTAAAGCCACATAAAAAAATGGGCGAGTGACCCACACTTATATCTTTTCGGTTAAGATATTTTTCAATCAACTTACCACTTTAAGCTGCAGGACAATGCTGAAATGTTGCCAATTTGATGAAATTGAGTGAGAGAGTAAGTGAGAGATAGAAAGTAAAAGGATAAGAGGGAAAGGTTGTCAGTAAGTTTAATTCAATTGGATTGTGGTTGAAAGCCAAATTGGCAATGGGCAACGGTATATATATTAATATTGGCGGGTATATACGTATGTATTTCTCTGAAGCTAAATTTGAAAGCGGGGAGTAAACAAGTAACTTAGGGTGGGTTTGACAAAAACACAAAATTATTTGTATTATTTTTTGTTATTATTATTCCAGTTTTCTGTTTTTCCTATAACCTATAAGGGATTACATTGAAAAGTCGTTAATTTAACACTTCATGAACCCAACAAAATTGAATTTAATGCGAAACTTAAAAAGTTTGCTTGCGGTAATGACCCAGCAGAGTGTCAATTCGGCCCAACGAAAGCACAACTTGCGTTGACAACAAAAGCTCAAGAATAGACACCACCTCTTGGTCAGAGCAAGACAATTTTTCATCCATTTCTGGTTCGAAAATTAACTGACGCCATAAATGCTATGAAATCAATTTAATTTTGTCTTCGAGTTTCTATTTCTCGCTTTGACGCGCTAAATAAGTTCATAACGCGCGAAATCCACTCATACCTTTCAGTCAAACAATGCTGTTATTTACAAAAACACTTCAAGACAAAAATTTTGCTGCTTGCAACTTAGAAAGGCGTAGATAAATAGCAACAATAATGGGAACAGGCAGGTACGATGAGCCAAACCCGCAATAGAGATGCATAAAAAAAATTTATTTCAGAAAAATGAAAATTTGGAACAAACAAAATTTGTGACGCAAATATATTACGCTTACAAAAAAAAAAAAAAAAAATATAAACGTCTTCTTCTAAACACTTCTATTGTTATCTGTAGGCAGGTACGGTGGGCGAAACCCGTGTTGTGCAAAGACAAATAGAAGTAATTTTCAAAAAGTTTAAAACTTAAAAAATACACCGCATATACATTACTCTTATACAAAAGCAAACAACAAAATTAATGCCAGTTTACGCTAAAATGCGTCAACTTAAAAACTTTTCCACACACATAAAGAAGCAAAGTACTTCCATGCATGAGATAGTTGAAAACCGTAAATTGCCGAAGGTCAATATCTAATCAAAAACAAAAAGGTATGTTACCATATGTTTCAAAGTTAGACATTTTAAAAAGTGTAAAAACTGTTTTATAATAAAACAATTAAGGTTCCCTAAAAAAATTATTTGTAGATGTATAGTTAAATACAGGTATGCACGAGTTAAGTTCGGTTGCCGTCGAAGTTTGCAATTTTCAAAAAATTTTAAAAGTCTCTAGGTATGAGCAATTCTTTATAAGAACAGATTCTTTATAAAATACTCTCGCAATTTGCAAGTATCAAAGGTTATTATGGATACAAAGCTCTAAATCTAGACAAATTTCAGTAATATTTAGCGCTAATATATATATGTATATTAACTAACGCTTTGGGGCAGCAAGAATAAAAAATGAAAAAATATTTAAAAATTCAAGCAAAACTGTAGATATTAAAGAATTCGACAGGAAACCCGCAATTTCTTCGCGAATTACTTATTTTAACACAAATCAATTAAACCTGGGAAGCCGGAAATTACTATTGCACACATATTGGTACTAAAAGAAGATCGGGTATGACCGTATTAGAAAAGCGTTCGAGGGTTTGCCACTGAGTGTGTGCGCCGCTAGAGTTTGACAGTCGACGATTAAACTTAATAATGTCCACGTGGCAATTGGCACTTTCATCCCCTTTATTTTAACCAAATCCGCTTTGGCACTTTCTCTAATGATGCACTTAAATTCTAGTGAGCCGTATCAAAAAAATTGGAAGTTATGTTTTCCTGTTCCGTCGGTTCCTGTTTAATGATGACATTCTGACTGAAATATAGGGCCTGAGTTCTAACAATCCCAGGTTGTCTTGATCAGCAGTAAATGATAATTATAGGATGATAAGAGGAAAATTTTTTCATACTTATACTATACGGCAATCGGTTGAGCATATGAGTCGAACAGGTAGAATTTTGTACCTGTGCGTGGGTCTTTTGTTTAACAATATATACAGACGTACCTGGGGGCGTACTGTTTAAAGAGCTTGTTGTTTCGTTACAATTCAAAGTTTTATATATGAATTAGTATAATTATGTTCCTCACGGATGATGTGGTTTGTTTGAAGTCACTTTTGCTGTTGAAGTTTAAGCACTGACCTCTCTCTTATTATCATCCCTTTTATCTGCTATCTTATCTGTTTTACCCGTTATTAGAAAAAAAGCAATTCAAGAGCACATTTTACACATTTAACACAAGAGAAGTTAAGTCGACGGATGACGCAACCTACGCTCATGTATTCCCGATTCATCAGTTGGTGGTTTCATCTGGGAGTATTGAACAACAAAGATTTTCATTAGGAGTAGTATGCGAAATCCAGTGTAACATTTCCTACCAGAGCAAAAAAGAGCGGGTTATGTCAGACGCTATTCCGCCAAATATAAATTAAACTGATAAAGAGGGGAAAATTCCGAGTGTAATCAAACAATATATAGTCCAGCAATACGTAAAAACAAAAATTGTGGAAAATTTTTAGGTATCCAGATTGAGAAGAAATTTTGAATTCACTACTCTCAAACAGAGCGTAACATATAACATAACACTCTTATATTTGTCATATGAAACTTTGGGGATTGAATGTACCGATAGCAAACTTTTGTCAGGTCCTATTATAACATTTCTTTCCTTCTCCAGTATTATTTTCAAGCTTTCCAAATGATATCATTAAGGAAAGTATTAATTATTGTTCGAAAAATATTTTTGTCGTGGTTGACTTCAATCTCAATTACTTTGTTGGTAACGAACTTCCCGACTACTCGCACTATTTATATAATCTACAAAGTCTTAGCCTTAATCCCATCAAAATGACCACATATTTTTAAATTAAATTTTTCCCAGAATTTCAGCTAACCTTATTTCTTACTTTTTCTCAATACAAAGTTTTGTTGCACAAAAAGCCTTCCAGCTTAAGAACGGGATTGGCGAGAACACAAAATTCCATTATCGCATTTTATGAGCAACTTTCGGTAGACCACATAGTCATTGCCGTAGGTTGTGGTACTTTCACCGACAGCGTAATAAAAATTTTCCAGCCATTACACTGTGTAAGTTTTCATAATACTCGCATGTTTGTGATGAGTATTTTTTCCGATTTTTTCACGCGGCTGCCCACACTCCAGCCACTTCGACTACTGTTACTGCTACTTGACTTGCGCGCCATTAAAATGAAAGAAAAACAAGTAAGGAAGGGCTAAGTTCGGATGTAACCGAACATTTTATACTCTCGCAAAGTCAAATGGTATACTCGTTTGAGATTTCTTTGTGGATTGACTGATATTTTCGGTAGAAGGTCAACTATAGGCACTGGGGTCCACATATTTAGTACTTAGGGGTTTGAACAGTTTTGGTTCGATTTAGACAATTGACCGCAAGGTGGCATACTTTAATTGCATTATTCACGCAAAGTTTTACCCCGATATAATCATTGTTACCTGATTTGCATGGTGGAAAGTGAAAGAATCAGATGGAATTTAAAATGGTGTTATATGGGAAGTAGACGTGGTTGTAGTCCGATTTCGCCCATTTTCGCACTATGACATAGAAACATGAAAAAAACGTTACGCACCGAATTTGGTTGAAATCGGTTAAGCAGATCTCAAGATATGGGTTTTCACCTAAAAGTGGGCTGTGCCACGCCCACTGTCTAATTTTGAACGCGGTTCCTATAAAGTCATCTTATACCATCTCAGAGATAAAATTTAATGTCTCTGGTGTGTTTAGTGCTTGATTTATCGCGCTTTTAGTAGTTTTTAACAGTACCGTTATATGGGGAGTGGGCGGAGTCGTCACCCGATTTCAACTATTTTCACACCGTCAATAGAAGTGCTAAAAACATTTGCTTCTAGTGAATTTTGTTATTATAGCATTAGCGGTTTAGGAGATATGCACATTAAACCTATTAGAGGCGGGACCACGCCCACTTTTTAAAAAAGTTTTAACTGCAGATGTCCCTCCCTAATGTGATCCTGTGTACCAAATAACAGTCTTGTATCTTATTGCGGAGCTTAGTTATGGCAAGTTATTTGTTTTTGATTAATGGCGTTTTGTGGGCGTGGCAGTGGTCCGATTACGCCCATCTGCAATACCAACCGTCTCACGGTACCAAGAAACATGTCTACCAAGTTTCATAAAGATATCTCAATTTTTACTCAAGTTAGAGCTTGCGCGGACAGACGGACGGACAGACAGTCACCCGTATTTCAACTCGTCTCTTCATCCTGATCATTTATATATATATAACCCTATATCTAACTCGAT